TTGGTTTGCCAGTATTTTATTGAGGATTTTTACATCGATGTTCATCAGGAATATTCGTCTAGAATTCTCTTCTTTTGTTGTGTCTCTGCCAGGCTTTGGTATCAGGACGATGCTGGCCTCATAAAATGAGTTAGGGAGGATTTCCTCTTTTTCTATTGATTGGAATAGCTTCAGAAGAAATGGTAACAGCTCCTCTTTGTACCTCTGGTAGAATTCAGCTGTGAATCCATCTGGTCCTGGACTTTTTTTGATTGGTAGGCTATTAATTATTGCCTCAATTTCAGAGACTGTTATTGGTGTATTCAGGGATTCATCTTCTTCCTGGTTTAGTCTTGGGAGGGTATATGTGTCCAGGAATTTATCCATTTCTTCTAGATTTTCTAGTTTATTTGCATAGAGGTGTTTATAGTATTCTCTGATGGTAGTTTGTATTTCTGTGGGGTTGGTGCTGATATCCTCTTTATCACTTTTTATTGCATCTATTTGATTCTTCTCTCTTTTCTTCTTTATTAGTCTTGCTAGCAGTCTATCAATTTTGTTGAAGTGTTTTTTGTGTCTCTATCTCCTTCTGTTCTGCTTTGATCTTAGTTATTTCCTGCCTTCTGCTAGCTTTTGAATGTGTTTGCTCTTGCTTCTCTAGTTCTTTTAATTGTGATGTTAGGGTGTCAATTTTAGATCTTTCCAGCTTTCTCTTGTGGGCATTTAGTGCTATAAATTTCCCTCTACACACTGCTTTAAATGTGTCCCAGAGATTCTGGTATGTTGTGTCTTTGTTCTCATTGGTTTCTAAGAACACCTTTATTTGTGACTTCATTTTGTTATGTACACAGTAGTCATTCAGGAGCAGGTTGTTCAGTTTCCATGTCGTTGAGCAGTTTTGATTGAGTTTCTTAATCCTGAATTCTAGTTTGATTGCACTGTGGTCTGAGAGACAGTTTGTTATAATTTCTGTTCTTGTACATTTGCTTAGGAGTGCTTTACTTCCAACTATGTGGTCAATTTTGGAATAAGTGCGATGTGGTGCTGAGAAGAATGTATATTCTGTTGATTTGGGGTGGAGAGTTCTGTAGATGTCTATTAGGTCCGCTTGGTGCAGAGCTGAGTTCAAGTGCTGGATATCCTTGTTAACTTTCTGTCTTGTTGATCTGTCTAATGTTGACAGTGGGGTGTTAAAGTCTCCCATGATTGTTGTGTGGGAGTCTAAGTCTCTTTGTAGGTCTCTAAGGGCTTGCTTTATGAATCTGGGTGCTCCTGTATTGGGTGCATATATATTTAGGATAGATAGCTCTTCTTGTTGAATTGATCCCTTTACCATTATGTAATGGCATTCGTTGTCTCTTTTGATCTTTTTTGTTTTTAAGTCTGTTTTATCAGAGACTAGGATTGCAACCCCTGCTTTTTTTTGTTTTCCATTTGCTTGGTAGATCTTCCTCCATCCCGTTATTTTGAACCTATGTGTGTCTCTGCCCATGAGATGGTTCTCCTGAATACAGTACACTGATGGGTCTTGACTTTTTATCCAATTTGCCAGTCTGTGTCTTTTAATTGGAGCTTTTAGCCCATTTACATTTATGGTTAATATTATTATGTGTGAATTTGATCTTGTCATTATGATGTTAGCTGGTTATTTTGCTCATTAGTTGATGCAGTTTCTTCCTCGCATCTATGGTCTTTATAATTTGGCATGTTTTTGCAGTGGCTGGTACCAGTTGTTCCTTTCCATGTTTAGTGCTTTCTTTAGGAGCTCTTGTAAGGCAGGCCTGGTGGTGACAAAATCGCTCAGTATTTGTTTGTCTGTAAAGGATTTTATTTCTCCTTAACTTATGAAGCTTAGTTTGGCTGGATATGAAATTCTGGGTTGAAAATTCTTTTCTTTCAGAATGTTGAATATTGGCCCCCACTCTCTTCTGGCTTGGAGAGTTTCTGCAGAGAGATCTGCTTTTAGTCTGATGGGTTTCCCTTGGTTGGTAACCCAACCTTTCTCTCTGGCTGCCCTTAACATTTTTTCCTTTATTTCAACTTTGGTGAATCTGACAATTTTGTGTCTTGGAGTTGCAGTTCTCAAGGAGTATCTTTGTGGCATTCTCTGTATTTCCTGAATTTGAATGTTGGCTGGCCTTGCTAGGTTGGGGAGGTTGTCCTGGATAATAACCTGAAGAGTGTTTTCCAACTTGGTTCGATTCTCCCCATCACTTTCAGGTACACCAATCAGACATAGATTTGGTCTTTCCACATAGTCCCATATTTCTTGGAGGCTTTGTTCATTTATTTTTACTCTTTTTTCTCTAAACTTCTCTTCTTGCTTCATTTCATTCATTTGATCTTCAATCACTGATACTCTTTCTTCCACTTGATAGAATCAGCTACTGAAGCTTGTGCAAGCATCACATAGTTCTTGTGCCATGGTTTTCAGATCCATCAGGTCATTTAAGGTCTTCTCTTCACTGCTTATTCTAGTTAGCCATTTGTCTAATATTTTTTTGAAGTTTTTAGCTTCTTTGTGATGGGTTTTAACATCCTCCTTTAGCTTGGAGAAGTTTGTTATTACTGATCGTCTGAAGCCTTCTTCTCTCAACTTGTCGAAGTCATTCTCCGTCCAGCTTTGTTCTGTTGCTGGCAAGGAGCTGCGTTCCTTTGGAGGAGAAGAGGAGCTCTGATTTTTAGAATTTTCAGCTTTTCTGCTCTGGTTTCTCCCCATCTTTGTGGTTTTATCTACCTTTGGTCTTTGATGATGGTGATGTACAGATGGGGTTTTGGTGCAGATGTCTTTTCTGTTTGTTAGTTTTCCTTCTAACAGTCAGGACCCTCAGCTGCAGGTCTGTTGGAGTTTGTTGGAGGTCCACTCCAGACCCTGTTTGCCTGGGTATCACCAGCAGAAGCTGCAGAACGGTAAATGTTGCTGCCTGATCCTTCCTCTGGAAGCTTTGTCTCAGAGGGGCACCTGGCTGAGTGAGGTGTCAATTGGCCCCTAATGGGAGGTATTTCCCAGTTAGGCTACTAGATGGTCAAGAACCCACTTGAGGAGCCAGACTGTCCATTCTCAAAGCTGTCAGACAGGGACATTTAAGTCTACAGAAGTTTCTGCAGCCATTTGTTCCAGCAATGACTTTTAAGAAAGGTAAATGGGCCCTTAGGAAAATAGATTAGAGATATGATAGTTTTGTGACAACTTTTGTTTAGGTGATTTCTTATGCTGATGTAGACATCTCTTTTCTGGTGATAGGAATTAATCTTCTCTGCCCTGGGATGGGGTTTATGACAGTTGAATTCTTTCTGTTTCTAGGCAGGTAAGAGAGTTAAAAAAAAGTTTTTGCATCTGTTGATCCTCAAATGCCTTCAGCCCCAAATGATTTTTGTGCCACAGTGGTGTATTCTGAACCCCTTTACTGAAACTCAGTCACTTGGTCACAAGGACTACGCCCATGAGGTGCATAATCAGTCAGGATCTTTCTCATGAGGGTTAGATAGGAATTTGCCCACCCTGGGCACCAGAGGAGGGTGCTATGTGGTTTAACTCAAGCGTTTGTGCTGTTTCGGTGGACTTCATTGTTACTTCAGGGGTGGATCCAATCAAAGTGAATCTCAGGACTTCCGCTGAGATGCTGAATCACACTCTGTGGGTTGGGGTAGCACCAGGAGGTTAACAGCCACTATCCCCATGAGGAGAGAGTCTGGACTGTTGGGAGACATGGCCAGGAGACTGAAGTTGGAGCTCCTTCAGAGAAGCAGAAACAGGAAATAAGTCCTGTTGATGTCAGTTGAGGTCCAGATCCAGACCTGTTTGAAGCCAGGTTGTATAGTTGTGTGACCTAATGCATCTCCTTTTCATCTAGGCCAGTTTAAATTGAGTTTTCTGTTGCATGCAGCCAAAAGAATTCTAACTACTGAATATGGTGTACTATTGTAATTGGGTTCTTATGTTTTCAAACCAAGATCAAGTTATCTCAGGAAAATTAAGGTGAATTATAATGTCTGGCGTTCCTTGTGGCTTTACATTTGTCCTGAATTTTTCATTTTTAATGATATTTTAATGTTAAAAGTAACATTAAAATAAGCCAGGATGACTTTGGTAGACCGTCACCAAAGCTTTGTCCTTGTAGCTTTTACCAATGTGAAATGCAAGTGAAGTGAACTGGGTATCATTTTAATCCAGGATTAAATCTGAAAGAAGGCCATGTTAATCTGTTTCTCTTTTCCAGACTCTTTATTAATACAATGTAACTAACACCCTCTGTGAAGGGTAGGATTTAGGGCACTCACCCATAAAGTGCAGGCATGTGCTACATAATGATATTTTGGTCAATGATGGGCTGATTGACAGTGGTTTCATAAGATTATAATGCCATATTTTCACCATACCTTTTCTACACTGCACAGTGTGTGGATATGTTTAGCTACACAGATACTTACCATTATGTTAAATTGCCTATAGTATTCAGTACAGTAATATGTTGGACAGGTTTGTAGCCTAGGAGCAATAGGCTATCTCATATAGCGTGGGTGTGTAGCAGGGTATACCACCTAGATTCGTGTAAGCACACACTTTGATGTTCACACAATGATGAAATTGCCTAACGATGCATTTCTCAGAATGTATCCCCCTCATTAAGTGACGTATAATGTGTGCACTTTAGCTAGGAATGGCGATAGCTAACCCTCTGGCCTTGTGGGCTATTGAAGAAGTATTCCATTGCTGCCTCAGCCGGCCACTTGCTCAGCCAGGTATCTGTGCTGTGGCCTGAGCCTGTGAAATGCACAAAGTTACCACAGGCTATTGAGAAATTTAGAAAATTATGGTGAGGTATGTGACCTAAATGCAGAAAATAGAGGCTGAGCAGTCCTGGCACTGAGCCTATAGAGGACATTTTGAACGTTCTTGCTAAGGTGGTTTTGTAACTTATGATGTGATATAAATGTAAAACTCCTTATTTTATTTTTGGTAACACTTGTATAATTTGCACTAATTTTAGTTATTTTTGGTGTCCTCTTTTACTCTTCAGTGTCTCAGTTTGGATGACAAGTCGTGTGGTAAGTTGCTTTTTCATTAGTCTTCCAGTTCCAGTTCTCTGTTAACTGGCTCCTCCTCTGATTTTTTTATTTTTATTTTTGCTTTGATTTCTGAGACAATCTGATTGGTCTACCTTGTGGAAATGCTAGATCATTTGTTGTTGGTTAGCCAAGTGTCTGTGGCTCTTGAACCAAGTGCTCTGTCTTGGTCCAATTATCTATGGTAGGATCGTGTTGGGTAGGAGTGGGGGTATCATGTGATAGAAAAACGTGTCTGCACACAGAGCAAGAGGTTTGGCTTAGAAGTGGATATGGGCATGAGAGTTATTTTGACTTCCTCTGTAAAGCACTTAAAACTAAATGTCAAGTCTTATAACAGAGTGAAGAATTGCTACATGAAGGCCAGGCACGGTGACTCGTGCCTATAATCCCAGCACTTTTGGAGGTCAAGATGGAAAGATCACCTAAGCCCAGGAGTTTGAGACTAGTCTCGGCAACCTAGAAGACCCTGTCTCTTTAAAAAAAAAAAAAAAAAAAAAAATTGCTATGTGAAAACTGAAGCATTGATTACTAACATCACTTACTAAAATATAAGCCCTGAAAGAAGGTCTTGTTGTTCAGTGTTGTGTCCCCAGCAACTGTAAAAAGTATAAACAAAAACTAAATTTTAAATTTCCCAACTGACTGAATAGACACCTCCTCTTGGACAAGGAGATTATAAAGAAAACTAAAAAACTAGTTCAAGCCATCATGAGACGGGAGATAGGACATGTCTCATTATACTCTCCTCCCTTTGGAGTTCAGGCACAACTGACCAGCATTAAAACAGAGGCCAGGCATGGTGGCTTGTGGCTTGTGCCTGTAATCCTAGTATTTTGGGAGGCTGAGGTGTGAGGATTGCTTGAACCCAGGAGTTGAAGGTTGCAGTAAGCTATGATTGTGCCACTGCATTCCAGCCTGGATGATAGAGTGAGACCCTATCTTTATAAAATAAAAAATTAAAAGAAGCTATTAAAACAGACATCTTAACACTGACAAAACAGACTCTTTGTAGTAATACGATATCAAATTCCAACCTGACTTGAGTATAGCATAACACAACAGATAACCCTGAAAGAAATCAGAAAATATTTTACACCAAAATATATTTCTTTGACATATCTTTATTTTATTTTATTTTATTTTATTTTATTTTATTTTATTTTATTTTATTT